CAGTAACTGGGTCATATCAAGCGCACTTTGTAAAGCTTAAACCATATTTCCTACTGTAGGGGGTCCATGGTTACATGAAATGTCATGCATTCATGTACTTGTACATTGTACAGTATGTATACAAAAGAACGCAATAATTTGATCTAATGAAGCCATTGTAATTCTACATGTAACTCATTAGCTGCAGCGTACATGCACAATCCAAGGGGAATCTCCAAATCATCTCAAATATGCAGACCAATCAACATTGAGAAGGGCATCATGACACCACTCTTGAAGAAAGATCAACATTCTCTGTGCACATCTTTAGGACTGCAGTCAGGGCTCCAAGGAAACAATGACGACAGCAGCCAGTGCTGTGGCTGTTCCCTTCTTACTGGTTGAGGTACGCCACAAAAATTGCCAGCTTCATGGCCAGTTTTGCCTTATGCCCTGTATAACATGCAATGTGTACATTTACATGTACCAGCACAATGACCTTGGCAATCACATCCATTTTGCAAAAACATCCATACGCCTTATGGTCCTCGATATCAGTTTGCTTTAAACACACCAACACTTAATTCGATGTCATGCCAGCCAGATTGGTTGTCTTGATATCTCTCTGAATCATTCACACATATACACGTCGCGGGGTCATTAACATAAACACAAACTGTTCAAATACAATGTGTGGCTTGGTGCTCAATTCCTCACTAGCAAAAATGCATAAGGTACGTTTGTGTAGTGTATGTGTACACATACATGTATGTTCATGTATCCCAACTAAATTTGGTTCACTTGGAGAGTGTTTCAGTACCTCAAGCAGTGACACCTCCCGCAGCAAAAATAAATAGCTGTAGTGTATTCATACACCCACATTCCAAGAGGAGTACTGTACATCGTACATGTACATGCATGTGCGGCAGATCCTGCATGTCGGGTACCTGTACTTCCAATATTGACCAACTTTCTCTTTCTTGGTACTTGTGCATGTGGTACCCAACACTCACGGATGGTTGCGTACTTGTACATGGCAAATGACAGTTTTAACATGCGTGGTGTTCAGTTGTCAGAACTTTTTTGGATAACTAACTTACAAACTCAAAGTTCTGAAACAACAAAATTTGGCAAATCAACATGCCATGCAAGAGAGGTTAAAGTGGATGGCCCAAACTGAACTGGAGAGGTCAGCCAACAAATAAAAAAAAATTGATTTCTTTTTTATTACTTTTATTACATTTATTAGGATAAATACTCCCATTTACACCTTGTGGTCTCCATGCCCCTTCAGTCAATATGCATACGCATTGGTGCACCCTATATCTACATGTATCTTCTAGTCTTAGTGCCTTCTATAATTGTCTTATTTACGTGTAAGGCAAGAGTGGCCTTGCCCTAAAAATCACCAACTTCAAGGTCTTTTTTTTTTATTACTGTTCCAGTGTACATGTGTAATAATTGCAAGCAATTCAGATATCTTTTCCCAAGCTTGGTCACCAGATGTGACCTTGTGCTAAAACTGCAGAAAGTGCAAACAATAGTTCTAAGTGCGGTGACAAGGCATTTTTGGTATGTAGGATTTGGCTGATGTGTGGGAAATACATGTACATGTACCGGTACATGCTGTCCCCTATAGTTGATTCTCAGTATAAAGAACAATGTTATTTCAAAATACTGTTTTAAAGAATCTCAATGTCTTGAAGTCTCTTGTTGTTTTCCACTCCTTTTATAACAAAGTCCTAGTTGAACTTGTCTGGTCCCTGTAACTTTTTTATAACGATAGTTGACGGTAAATGTATGCTTTTTGTTAAGGGCAGATAATTTATTTCAGTTTTCATTTATTTCCTTAAAGTTGATGTTTGTTAAATTTGAATGAATGAATCATTTATTTCAATGCTGTCATTCTTTACAATAAGCAAACATGATTCACATTACTTAAGTACTAAGTACATTGCCATTAAATTGAGCAACATTACATAATGTATCATTTTACATTTGATGAATTAGATGACAACATTCAGGTTTAAGGTTAAGTAAGAACGCTTGGTACCCCAACCTATGGAGAGACAAAGAAAACGAAGCAATCTTACCTACAACGACAGACAAATGACAAACAGGACAAAGCAAAAACAAGTATGAGACATCACTGCAAGTGGTTTACATGCACATTTCATGGTAGCCTATTGAGATCATTTTATAGATGTAATAGACTTCAAACATGAATTATTATCATTATTATTAACCCTAAATAAAGGTTTCTTTGCCAAAAAATTGCTCATTTCTTAACTGAATTGTCAGGGGCTTCATAAATTTATACTGGACTGCCATAATTGACCAGTTATCGGTCAGTACATGTATACGGTATATGCAGACTTGCGTGGACATATCTTTAGGCTTCGGCATGTGCAGCAAGTTATCACTCTTGAAATTTAATATACTTGTGCCTGGTAGGTAGGTAGGTACATGTAGATGTGCAGTAGCTCTGACATGTCTGAGGTAGTACTGTGGAACTGTTTGAATGGTGCATAATTTGCTCCAAGTACTGTACCAGCACACTTTTACATGCAACAACACAATTTTGTTATCTGAAAACAAATGTATAGAGTAGAGACTTTATGGAAAATTATCCCTTCCACTTCAAAGGAATATCAATGGCAGCAACGTACATATCACCAATCACTTGTAATTGATAAGCCTTCGCCACATCTGCACATCACGGCATATCCTTTGCTCCCTGTGCAATTTCCTTAGCCTTTACAGCCAATGGAATGCACTGTGGAGGAAAGTGTACATATACATTGTAAGAGAGCATCTGCGCAGAGGAATATTACAAGCATATGCCAATGTACATACTATGTGAATGCTATCCCTGGGCTGTCTGGTGTTTTCACCTACACATTCAATGTACATGTATATGTTCTGGCAGGTATACCTGTACAGTACTTATACATGAATGCACACCTGATGTGCACTACATCTTGGAGAAACATTTGTTTTCACTCGTCAGCTTTGATGGAAGTATCAACTTGACGGTCGGAAATTTTATTGGCTTGTTCTGGCAAAGGACACAGTAATTGTCTACTGTAAAAGGAAAACATGGCGGATGAGGATGTTGAAGAAGCTGAAAAGAGGAGACGAGCCAGCACGGATTCTGTAGGCAAGAGAAAAGTCAGTCTTGATTTTGGCAAGCGGAGGGGAAGTTTATCTTTTGCTAGGTGGTTCCGCAGAGACAAAGAGGTTGGTTAGCATGCTATAACCAAAATACATGTACATGTGCCTAGAATGTCAACACTGATACAGTATGTTTTATCACTAAAGCTTTTTTGTGTGCACGTACTTGCAGCCTGCACCAAGCTTGACCAGTGAGTTTTACTCATATTTACTTGAATGAAGGGACTCTGCGTTTTCTGAAGATTTTGAAGTTGAACATCAATATGGCTCCACTTCAGTAGTAGTTCCTGATTTGCCGGACATGTAGTCTATACATTCACCTTTTCTTATATTTCATAAATGTGTTTTGCAAACAGAAGCACCGCTGCTTTTTGATTGAAGTCTGTAGATTGGCATTAAAATTGTTCATTGCAGGTCAGAGATAAAATTTTAAAAAGTACAGGTACATGTTTGTAGAGCAAAGGACAAATTGTTCATGTGCATCTACGCTACTGGATATTACCATTACATTTGTACGGCATTACTGTATCAATAAAAGTCCTCAGTTTACAGGGTCACTTACTGTGCTCAAATCTACATGTACTGTATTTGGGTTTAAGGTCCATTGAGTGGTTATTGTTACTTCAGTTGCATTCACTGAGGCATGTCTTTCAGTACTAGTTCCACTACGTTTACAGGGTCACTTACTGTGCTCAAAGCTAGTCACCAGTAAACACTAAACTGCTGTCTGGGCAGTCAAAAAAACAAATTTCTGCCTGTGTGCATCATAGCCTACATGTACATGTATGTATGCTTTTGGCATTAAAGTTGTACTGGTAAGCATACTTGTGTGATGACAGCAAGGCAAGGTAAAAGTTATCCACTTGACAGTGAGGTAAGGGAAGAAGTTTTAACTGTTTAGTCAAGATCTACTTGGCATGTTATGTGTATACGTGTACTGTATGTTGAAAGTGTACATGTGCCATCTACAGTGTATGTGTATGCAGTGTTGCATATTAAATGAATTATCTTCACACAATGTCGAGCCTTAGGTGTTTCAGGTGTCTGTTCTGAAGAGATGTTTTAGCTGCGACTTGTTAGGCAGTTCAATTTATGCAGAGGGAAAGGGGTTGTTCGTCTGAGGGTAATCATACACAGTAAATTTATCTTTTTGATGATGACCACTCATTACAAACATCTGATACATGTGGGCATGTATCTGGACATTTATACATGTATTCAAATATACATGTATGCACCATCCTCTATTGGTCAGTCAGAGCCAAAGGTAAAAGTCATGATGCACTCTACTGTACATCTAAGTCAAAACAACACTGAGGCTGTTAAATGTCAGCTGCCCTACGATATTGCACAAGGAATGTAAAGGACAGTCTCATTGGAGAGACTGCAGAAGATTCTTCCAAGCGGGGCAGAGCTTTTTGTCAGTGCCAGACGCACACTGCTCAGTTGGTTTTGCCCCGATAAACAGTGATGGTTATATGATACACTGTTTCAAAGGACAAGCATGATGCATTTGAGCTTTCCACTAGATATGGAATTTTATTTTTTATCATGTCGATGCACCATGATTTAGGCGAAAAGATGTGTTAAAATACCAAATTAGGGTCAAGTGACGGCAATGGACTGATTGGTGCAAGCCCAAGCTGGTTTGAAATATACTAGTGAAAAGCCAGCACATTGCACTTTTATATCTATCCTACATGTACATGTTATGGTGAACAAATCGAAAAGGCTTTAAAAACTTCAATTTCTGTCAACCATTTTTGTATTTAATAGCTATCCGTGTTTTGGGCTGTTTCTATGATGAACAGAGCTCAATGTACAACTGTACTTGTTTTTTAACTGCATCTTCATTACATGCTATATCATGGGGAAACAAAACAGGTTGAAATCTGCAGCAGTTTGGCTGTCTTATCTGTCACATTGCCAAGTTAATGACATAAAACAAGTGCTCATGTTCACAGTTATATAAGCACATGGCAATAAGGCAGTGGCCAACCCTTTCTCATAAGATGTATTCAATGAACATAACTGTGCAGTGCCCATTTTAGAATGGCATCACGGTACCTCCGTTAACCCAGAATAATGCAGAAGCTTTTAAGTGCAGCTTTGAGTACAAGCTAATAAAAACATCTTTACTAGTTTTCACTCATGCACATTAACAGTGCATACCACTAAAGGCATACAGTTGTACAAAATGGTTGTCTCAGAAAAATTCATCGCATGGACCCTTTAAAATTGGTTCAAATAGAAGAGTAATGATTACCTCATGATATTTATGTACATGTGACAACTTGGACTTTGGGATTGTGAATGCATTCAGCATTAATTTCATTGAGGCATCAGATATTCAGTAGTAACCTGATGAAAGGCTTTGTGCAAATCCTGTTAATCCACTACTGTCAGCAAGGGTAACAGTTACAGCCAACAGTTGATTCAGCTGACATAACTCAGTGGCTGACTGCATACTTTCTCAAATCCGCAACTCAGTTCTTAATCCTAACCCCATTAACACAATTTTAATAATAATCCTGTGGATTCAGAAAAGTCAGGAAAACTGAATTCTAGGGTGTCCTATCCTTGGCATTTTTAGTTCAGAGACAATTCTGCCAACTAACATTTGTCAGTGCAGTATGCTGCTGATAGTCAAAGGCCTTTATGTGAATAAGAGGACAGAACATATTTCCAAAACTTTGCACAAAACATCTCATTTGCCTGACCGATATGTGAAAATGTATTTATTTTTTGTGATTGTCTAACATCAGGTTTATTCGCCATCCTGAACCTAGTCCGGAGAGTATTTGAATATTGATTTTTGTCGTTGCTAACTTAGAGTTTGCAAAACATTCCTTCCAAAGTCACATGTACATGTGAAATTGACCCAAGTTGACACGTCGTCTGGGATGACTTGGCAAGATGTCCATATTGCTGAACAAAATCCTGAAAAGTGCAAACTAACTACTGGCCATGTTGCATGAAGTTATTGATAAACTGTGACTTTCCCCTTTCCGTATTCCATCCCTGCCTTTTATTGTTTTTTTTTTTTAGATTTACAAGCATGTACACGTATGGACTTGCATGTAAAATGTACAAGTCCATACGTGTACATGCTTGTAAATCTAAAAAAAAAACAATTTAGCCATTAGATTTTTGAAAATGTTTATGGGGAGATTTATCCATCTCCCCCCTTCTTAATCCTTAGACACACAAATGATACCATCTTTAAAGAGTCACATAAAGACGCCTTTCCATATGCATGTTAACACTTGCACCAAGCGATGCGCGTCCATCAAAATCGCTTCCGGGATGATTTTGATGGCCAAACACAATGCGCACATGTGTTATTTTAATGGAGTCAATTTTTGTGTCAGTAAAAGTGAAATGCATGAACACATTGTGGACACAATGCACCAAAAAACGTGCATGGAAAGCTTCCTCAAGAATGCTGATTTTTGTGCATGATGGTATTTTTGTTTTTAACCCAAGCAATTTTTAATCCTCCAATTTTTATATTTTCCCATACTCCTGGGATTAGGGTTGAGAAAATCTGTCATGAATTTTGGTGTATACACACTGATAAGTACATTGCAGGTTCAATTTCAACACAGTTTTTGTGCGACTTTTATTCTTCAGTATATGAAAACTTTTCCTCTCTCTATTTGATTAAATGCATAGACTGCACTTTTTTAAACACTTAAAATAATCCATGATTTGCTTGGCCACTGAGGCTGCTGTTGCTGTGATGTCATCAAGAGAAGTGTAGTTCAGTGCATATATTTTCTGTTAAAATTGTAAACCCGAAATTTACTTGCAAAAACATCTCTGAGAAATCCATTGGTGCTTGCTTATTGCTATGCATATTAATAACAATGAGTCAGCAAAGAAGAGAACCTTTTGGGGTACAGTGTACGTGTCACATTAAAGCTTTCGTCCAGGGATGACATGACAATAATTTTGCTTATGAATATGGAAATACTCATCTGAAACTGTGACACAAGGGTGCATTTTGAAGGGTTTTTCAAAAGAAATCGATCAGTTAACCTATATATACATGTACAATGTACATGTACTTGTAGATACAGCAACATGTACTTGTAGATACAGCAACATGTACACTGTACTAGTACATGTACATGTATATGTGTGTTTGTGTTAAGTTTTACTGTGTTGTGTCCTGTAGAGAGTAATTCACAATTCAATTGACATCCTGTTCAAGATGCGATTCCATTGTCAGTTAGACGTGTACAGACCCAGAGAGTACCTACATGTACATGGACCAGTACGTGTAGTCTTTATAGTGGTAAGGCAAAGGCATACAGATAATCAGTGCAGAATTGGTAGGCATCAAAGTTTGATATTTGCTGGCTTACATGTATGATGTAGTAGCTATGGTTACAATTCAAAGCAGACTTCTGTCATGGCTGCTAAGCAAAACAGAAATTATAACTGTGAACACTGCTTTGCATCTGTATTTACAGAAGTAAGGTTTTGACATCATGGTCAACATCGTACAAAATGGTTTATAGCTACATGCACAATGTATGCGTACATGTAGGTAAAAGAAATGAGGATCATTAAAGGGCTACATTTTATTGATGTAATGAGGTAGATTTCCCTGGGAATGTTGGTGGTCTTCATACCATTCAAAGTCTTTACAATACCAGTGTGCTGATCCATTCCCCATCCATGCCTTGTACAAATAACCTGAATTCAGGACAGAAATGTCAAAGATGTCTGTGCCATGCACTGGCACATGGTTCACATGTTATGCGCAAATGTATGCAAGCATAACTTACATGTCAGCAGGCTTTTAGGAAAATGCTTTTCATCATGTGTATGGTCTACATTTAAATTATATTATCATTCTTCTTGACATTATTTTAGATGTAGTTGAAATGACTTGGACCCTCCTCACTGCCCTGTTCAACATTTGGACATTATCTGGTGATAAAGTAGGGTCCAAACAAGTTACAGTAGCAGCAACATTGTAAACACCAATGGCAGCTTGTACATGTGCATGTACCTCAGGAGTCCTTGGATATTTTTTAATATATTTAATGGGAAATTGCACTTTTCACTTGCATTGTAAACGTGAGAACCTTCAGTGTAATCCTTAAACTCTACGTGTATCACAGGTGCTATATCCAGTATTTTTGAAGCCATTTTGAATTAAAATGTGTACTATTACAAGTGCGTGTGATTTGCAGAAAAGTATATGTAAACATACGGTACATGCACCCTTACCAAGAAACTTTGAACTCCATAAAAAGATAAGATTAACCCTAAAGAGCTAAAGGGGCCCCCCCAACTTTTTTTTCAGATTTCGCTACACTGCTTTTTTTTCGGGAGCTGAGCCTTTATGAGTTTTTAGAGTAACTCTTCTGGTCATTTTGACATCAATGTTGTGAAAATCAAACATACCATTCTTGCACAGCACACATTCTTCCAAGGCAAGTCTGCCAAAAATTTAACCACTGGGAAGCTTAATGCACACAGGCTGGTGCACGTGTAGCTTTGAAATTCAAATGACCGTAACAGCAAACCCATATGTCTGATTGAGTTCAAACTTCACATTTGTAGATGATAAGGGATGTCATAACATGCATGCCAAGTTTAAACAAAAATTGCCACTGTGTTCTTATGGGGGGGGCAGAACTCCCTTGGCCCCCAGCTGTGAGATGGGCAAAAATAACCCCCCCCCCCGCTCTTTAAGAGTTCATGCATTTGGAGGATGAAATCGGATGTTTTTGTAGGGTTGTTATCAGTAAAGCTGCTAATTGCAAAATGGACTCATGCAGTAGCAGTAGGTACCATACCAGTACTTTGCATTAGTGTACATTGTTCATGTACCAAGAAACTTTGAACTCCATAAAAAGACAAGATTAAGAGGATGAAATTTGTTGGGCTGCTGTTCATTGTGTATTGGACCCAGTAGCAGTGTAAGCAGGATCAGTATGACGTGCATGTAATTTGTACATGTGTGTACATACATGAACACTTACCAAGAGACTTTGAATTCCATTTAAAATGTGGCATTTATACAGATGTGACCCACTAATTCAAAACTAGGTAGAAATACAATGTAGGTAATTATGATGTTTGGCTGTTCCTCACCCCTCCTTTTTTTTACACCTCAAAGTGATCGAAGGTCTCAATTCTAGCAGCAGAAAGCTTTGGTAATTACAGGCAATGAAAGTTGTGGAACTTCCATGCACACAAACACAGGTAATTCCACTACATCAGGGATATGATGTTTCTTCAGCCTGGTTGTTGGATGGCGGTTCGCAAAATACATGATGTATAATAAAAATCTTCAAGACTTTGTTGGTTTTGATGAGGACTTTGTCCTGCAGTCAATGAACAACTGATCATCAAACACTGTTCATGCATCTTCTCCAAGTTCTACGTGAATTTTAAACTTTGTGGGGGTTGATGAAATATTGAAATTTAGGAGAAGGGGTAAAGTTATGTCTCCCTTTAATGACCCTTCAAAATCTGGTACATACATGTACTAGTCTGGGCATTTTACCATCTTTGGAATTGGAAGCAATTTTCAGCCATTCATTGGAAGTTTTTTCATCATTCTTCATCTCTACAATCTATTATGTTGGTACCAATACTTCCACTGTATCTTTTGTTCTGGCTTTGTATAGTAAAGCGTCTAGTTGAGAGGGACACTTTAAAGGGAAAATATCTGATTTTTCATATTTAAAGTGTCTATCTCAACTAGAAGCTTTGAAACCAACACAAAACAACGGATGTTTAGTTTGTGAACTTTACACACAGTGCACATACAGGTAGTTCCTTAATGTCAAATGTGTGAAGTGATGATCAGTGCCATGTGATTGTGGCATCTCATCTCAGAAGATTAAAACCATTGGCTTGTTGATGCTGATAATGAAACACAGATGTATCCTTGTTATCACAGTCAACTTACCACATGTAGGAAGTGTTTGACCTTCAACTTTCCACTATACATGTACATGTATATTTTGTTCTCAGAAACCAAAACTGGATGGCCATATTCCATTAAATTCCACAATTATATCTTCTCAAGATATGCACAAAGGCAAAAAGCTATGCATGCAATTATAAAGAAATTCAATAAGTACTATACATGTGTATATGTACAAGCACACAGGTAAATGAAGCACAAGATATTGAAAAGTAAGCCTATGTCTTTCATTCACTACATTTAGCAACAGATTTTTTAACAGTCTTGAAATGTAGGTTCAATCAAAAGAAACTATAAAAAATTAAGTGAAAGCAATAGAAAACATCATCAAATAGAATTGAATAAAAATAATCTTTCAAGAATACAACATACAGAAGTGCAAAGTACTGGAACCTAGCAAAACTGTCAATATCATTGATCAATGTTACATGTACACGTGAGAAAGGAATTGGCCATAACTTTGTGCGCTGCGAAATGCCATAAGTCAGTCTCAGTTGAGTTGAGATTATGCCCAGATATCAAACATTCCTGATTTGGTCTGATAGAAAACTACAGACAGTAGGAAGGACGGCTGGATTAATCCCTAATTGTAGTAGTTTTTACCAGCAGTTGTACGGTTGATATGATCAAAGTTACGTGCAATGTGAGTCTGTGGCCACTCAATTCACCTTTGTGCACATAAATTTGATCTGTATAGTATGTATGTGCAATACATACATGTACAGTGTATACAAGAGGAGAAAGGTTGCATTCAGCTTTTTATTGGTTTTAATCTTTGATAAATTGGTGGATCAACTTTGTACGGGAATGATTTGTGTATTTATTGGCAGATTGTATCCTTTTGTTTGAATTGGGGGTTTAACTGTGCAATACGTTCATACATGCAGAAGGTAAAAGTTCATTTGGTATAGAGGCATATGTTTATGTAATTTCTCAACTATGGTAATTGAGGTAAAGTTAAGTTAATGGAGTTGTTGAAGCAGTCATCTGGGGTTGTCTCTAGCCTCCTGTCCTTGACACAATGACTGATTGCATCAGCTAAGTCACATATATGTAACCTATAATGGGTATCAAACTAACATAACGGCCTTCCATAGCAAAGTGTGTCATAAGTTTTGTTTACCAAAGATTTGGTAAATTACACTTATGACACACTTTGCTATGGGAGGACGCTACATGTATGTTTGCTGTTTCATGTTTCATACCAACTATACATGTAGGTCACGTGACTTAGCAGGCGCAATCACTGTTATTTGATGCAGAGATGACACCCGTATTCCTTGGGAAGAGGAAAAGTGTGAAAAGAATTTCCCATTCCCAGGTTAGCTTGCAATGGGTACCGTAGATACATGTAAAAGGTTGTTTCTTCTTGATAAAGGAAATTTGAAAAAGCTACGTGAACATATGTTCCACTTCCAATGACTTCCCCCAGTGCACGTGTACAGTTTCTCTCTACCCTTGTATTGATGCATGGCTCCTCCCTCTAACAGCCCCTTTCCCCTTCCAAACATTCCTGGTGAATTACACATCATTTACATGCACAATATACATGCCTGTCTCTGTACTCATACATGTTTGTCCCCATGCTCACTCTTATACCCCTGTCTTACATGTAAATTTCCTTTGTTACTGTTCCACAATCAAATCATTTATTATGTTGGTTTTTAGTCACAAGGAATTCTGTGTCCGAGAGCAGAACTTCACTTATGTAAATTGAATATTAAAAAAACTTTGGGGGAAAAATGCAACCAATAACTAACAGCATAAAAGGATAAAGCATCAAAACCCTCCTATGCTAAGATACATTCTTGACACATTTGTCATATCAGTCAAAATCAGTCAAATTTCCCATATGTGTCTGTGTACTGGGGGAAATCAAGTGGGAGGCATTTTTGACTGTTTTTGACGGTTAAAACAGAAGGAGGGTTAATTGATAGGAAATGCACTTGTAATCGGGATTCAGGAAGGGAACTCTTTTTTTGGCTGTAGACAGTGAGTATTTCTAACATACATGTACATGTACATGTACTTGACATGTTGACAGATCAAGTGTACAACACCTGAGTACAAATCTGTTGGTGTTTCATGTACACACAACACATATTGTATCTGTTCTTACTTGTCTTTGGTCAAACTGTTGGAAAGCTACTGTAACAGCAGGCCAGGTTTGCTCTGTAGCTACTGTTGAATCCTGGTATCTGTAATCACACGTATTAGACATGTACTTGTATTAAGTGTACGGTGCATGTGGACTTGTTTATGTATTTGGAACATTGCACTAGGAGGTCTGAAAGCCTCATTCAATTAGTGCCTCCTGAGTAAACTGAAATCAGGCCAATAGCTGTGAGAGATGAGGATGGTACCACAGTATGGACCTAATGTGATTCTAGTTCATTGCATTAATATTGTGAGTGCATTGCAGCTGTAGGAATCTAGATTTCTGCCTCAGTTCCATGCAGATGCTGGCGATTGTTGTTCAAATGTTGGACAATTTTGGGGGGCCATTCATCCTGGCCCTGATTCAAAAACATTTGCAAAGCCAGAGGGAATTTTTGCCCTTTTTGAACAAAAGAGGAACAACAGGAAGTCATAGTTATTACATTATTTATTCTTATTTACCATGGTTAAAACCTTTTTTTTTTCAGAGGAGCACTGTTTTCCAGAGGGCAATTAATTACAATAAAAGAAAAACACTTAAAGTGAAAAATCAAAACATTGGGGTACATTAAAACACATCTATAATATATAACAAAGAAAAGAACCAGTACTGATAAGCATTAACCCTAACCCTCCTCTATCCTTCACCTGTTGGAGGATTGAGGAGTGTTAGGGTTAATGAACATCAAAATAAACAAACGCTAGAAAGACAACTACCAACAATCATGCCCATTCATGCTTTACAAAGCAGGGTTTGAATACATATGCTTTTAAAATTGGCTACAGTAGTGGGCAGAGGATATTTGAGATAAATAGGACGTAATATTGACGTCAGTGGGTGTGTAAACTTATGTAATGTTCTGAATTGCATGCAGTGGTATACATACTTTACTATTTATGAATGCTTATTGCTTGTTTCCTTTGCAGAAAATTGATGAGAATGATGTGGTTGTGGATCATGGCATCCACTATCATCAGCCCCAACATCCAGTGGATGAACAGGACAGTGCAGGTACATTGACATCAGTGTATAGGTCATTAAGAATGTACAGTTTAAATGTAGTTGTACCATTGGCTTGTGCCATTATTCTATGGAATCAACGAATAGGAAGGTTTTTGATTCAGTCAACTTGTTGTGAGTGCATTACTTGAAGAAAAAGCAAAATGCTTTCAACAGTCAAAGAATATTTTCAAGGATGGATTTTCGCCAGGGGGATGTTAATTAATTTTAGATGCCCAGATTTTAGATGTGTTATAATACATGCCCAACATGTATTATAACACAGTATACTCAGTGATCGTCTCTCGGGCACAAATCCATCCTTGGAAATAGTTGTTCACGATACCCTCTGCTTCATTTGATTCAAAACCAGCCAGCCAACACAGGCAAGCTCAGTGGTCGAGTGGTTAAGATGTCTGCACTAGTAAGCAGGAAGTCATGGGTTCAAGTCCCACACGAGTACACTTGTGGGTTTTTTCACAAGCCTTCGGGGCATACACTGAATACACAGTGTTATAATACACATCAGGCAGGGCAAAAATTTAGAATACCGGTAAGTCAAAGCATAGTTCACTTATTTGAGTGTGTACACAAGGCACACGGGGGACAATGAGGGACCAGTTTTTCTCCTAAAAGTGCAGTTTCCCATACATGTCCAAGAATGATAGTTTGCAACTTGAGCTTAACTTTGTAAACTCTTCAAACATGAAAATGGTGTGGACTTTTTGAAAGATAAAATTCATTGTACAATGTGCCGACCAATAAGCAGAGTGCATGGATGATCACTCATGTAGACACCTCAAACACCTACCTGTACATGTACCACACACAAATTGGATTACCTGCTTCTAATGCAGACTTCAAGAATTCACAGCTTATATAGTGCCCCATGCAATTTGGAAATTGAATTATTTCATTATTATTATTAAGAAATAATTACAAATTATTTCATGTGGTTTTGCAAATGGTGTTTATACTGCCCTAAAAGGTAGAGTCAATTATTTGCAGTCATCCAAAATGTAACCGATGAAATTGTGGAAAAGCATAATTGGTTTAAAGATTGTTATGGGACTAAACTCCTTGTGAAATTATTCTTCTTGGCAAGCTGTAATTTTGAAGAAACTATTAACAAGGGCCATTTCCAACAATGTGTCTAAAGATGCATTTTTGGAAAATTGCCATTAGGAGCACAAGCATTGATACACTCGTCCATGGTTAGTATAATTCATTGATTCAGTGTATGACATCGCGTAGCAGCATTGGACTGAACTTGACAACATTTCCCAGACACTGAATTCAGGCACAATTCCACACATGAAAAAGCAACCTCTTATCTGACATCGAAATCCGAGAATATTGTTTTTCTCATATTATACAGTATTCACTGAGCTGAAACTTCTGCAGGTTTGTTCTTAGACATTGTTCTTTAGATTCTGAATAATTTTGTTACCTCAAAGAAATATCACAAACATTGACAAATAATACCTGTATGTCTGTGGCCTTTTCGCTGTTGTGGCTCAGGCACTGTTTACTTTATATACATTTAATATAAAACTGCACTGCTGTATGTTCCATATGGTTTCATGGTTAGGGGGAATATTTGATGATTACATGTACAGCACATCATTATGCAAGGCTGCTCATCCCTCCTTGTGGCTTCTCTTCATGAGTACATGTGCCTGTATGTACGTGTACATGGTATTTATGTAGCGCCATATTGAAATTGCATATAGAGGGATTAATCCATAGTAATGGGTATTGCATACACAGCAGGCACGTGTAGTGAAGACATTTTGAGATGCTTCTTTGTAGTGCGATGATTGCTTCACAGAAGAGTTAATTACAACTCTATGTTGTTGGGAAGATGTAGCTAGTGTGAGGGAAAATGTTGGTAGGTTGTGGGGACTACTGAGTGTCTGCACGTCATTGGACCACACATTAGCCATTGCTCATCAGATGCATGGTCCAAATAATTCAGGGACATGTACACATACATACATGGGTGCACATGTACATGTAAATTAGAGGAAATAAGCAGTTGAAATAATCAATCTTACTTTATTTTCGACGTAACATAACAATACATGAAATATCACAAATTTACAGCAATAAATGTGGACAGGGGTCTTTGAAAAGCAGAGCTTGTTGAGTGGTGACCCCCAGAAATTAAGTTAAATTAAATAATAATGGTAACACACACACATCAGTTTCATGGTAATCTGTGCCATCTTGTTCATGGGCAAAAAGAACGAGCCCATATTTGTTTCACATACAAAGTGTGGACATTCCCTTGTTTTCCAGTGGCTAAGGTAATTTGGGAAAATGCTCCTTTTTATCCCACTAGAATAACTCCTTCGAACTGGGTTTTGATGTTGATTTCCCAGACTGTTCCTCTTCATTTTGCCGCAGATAACCTGGACCCTAAAATGCCTCTGATGCTGTTTTTCAGAGAGTCAAAAACATTGTGTGGACGCTTGCGAGTCCACACAACGCCATCACACCCATACATAATGTGGACCTTTGTGCAAAGGTCTACACTATGTACATGTATGCCGCGCCTGTGCACCTGTGCTGTTCCAAGTCATCATGCATTCATTCTAATACACACTTACATGTATTTTCAAGATGTATTTTTTTTTTTTTTTTTTTTTTTTTGCGTTGGGGTGATGTTA